ACTTAAATATCAAATCATTAGACAATGTGTGCCTTTTTTACTTGATACTTCTATGAAGACAAAAGCTTTTTTATTGAAATCACTGTTTTACCAATTGATACATGTTATGTATCAAATAGAAAGACATGGAAACAAATGCCCTTTTCTTTTTTTATTTTTGACAGTCCTTGAATTCAGGGCCTAGCCATTGTCCCTGAGCTTCTGTTGCTCAAGGCTAGCACTCTACCACTTGAGCCATAGCTGTACTTCTGGCTTTTTCTGTTTATGTGGTACTGAGGAATAGAACCCTGCGCTTCATGCAGGCTAAGCAAGCACTATATCACTGAGCCACATTCCCAGCCCCAGAAATGCCCTTTTCTTATAGCATGTTAAACGTGTTTGTGTAGCTTTGTTTAAGATCTTTTCTGTATAAACCAATTTGTTAGGTTTTTGGTTGAAGGGGAGAGAGTTTGCTCTCTCCTCTTGCAATTGTTTCAGTTGCAATTTTTTTTGGTCATGGGGCTTGAACTCTGGGGGTGGGCACTGTCCCTGCACTCTTCAGCTCAAGGCTAGTGCTCTACCACTTGAGCCACAGGGCCACTTCCAGGTTTCTAGTGGTTTATTGGAGGTAAGAGTATCACAGACTTTCCTGCCCGGGCTGGCTTTGAACTGTGATCCTCAGATCTCAGCCTTCTGAGTAGCTAGGATTACAGGCGTGAGCCACCGGCACCCGATCAATTGCAGTTTTAACTCTAGTCTTCCTGTAGAAATTTTTCTTAGGGCAGGGCTGAGGATGTAGCTCAGTAGTAGAGCACTTGCCTAGTATGTGCAAGGCCCTGGGTTCAGTACCCTTTTGAAAAATGGTGGTGTACTATTCTTACACAATTCCAGTAAGAGGAGGATGCAAGGAACCCTAATGGTCATTTCTCTAGCTTTTTACTAAATAAAATATTACTGACCAGAAAACATGCACATCATAGGTGTAGAAAAAAGAAAGAAGAAAACTGCCATTGTTTAATTCTTTCAGTTTGACTTCCTAAATTAAAGTCTTTTCGATAAAAATTTGAGTCTGCACTTAAAAAAGAAAATGATGGTCTCTTTATATGTAAATTCTGTGAGTATAGAAACTATTTGTATTCCCTGCATCCTTGGGCCTGGCACAGTGTCTAGACAGTAGTAACAGCATAATAGACTCACTAAAAATCAGGTTAGGAAAGCAGTATAGATTATAGATTATATGCCCTATGAAATATATAGGTGTGTGTTCATATCTTTTTTATTTGGCTAAATTTTATGCATTTTTGTTTCTATAACCTAGAAAACGAACTTTGAAAGGAGAAGAAGAAGAATGAAGGATTAAAAAAATAAAGAATAAGGATGGAAAATACAGAGCAGTGGCTACTGGGAGATGGATTTGTGCTTTTGGTTGTTGTTGCTCTAAAGACAGAACTGGTAGCATTTCAGAATGTCAGTCTGAGAAGTCTCTTATCCCCCTGTGACCATTCCACACAGGTAAAAACACCTACTCTACCTACTACTCTACCTACTTTGACTGCCTGGAAAAGTAAATGGTCCCCAAGTTCTTTCTCCCAATGGGAAATGGACTTGAAGGATTCTGGAAAGACTAAGAAAACTCAGAATTGCTAGTCTCTCACAGACTTTTAAAGGCCCCATCTTCCCCAGCCCCTAGTTCAGCCTCAAACACAATGCATCACCCTAGAAGCTTCTGTGGTTCTGTTCCACCGACACACAGTCTGGTCTCAGCCTGTGTAAATAACATGGAACATGGTACTAGTCCAGGACTTCTCCTTAGATTTAGTCTGGACACCTGAACTCTGTTCCTTTGCCCTTCTTACATGCTGTCTGACACTTTTTCCTTCCCAGGTCTGCTCTGAGCTTGCTCTCCAATCTGTCCTTCTGGGCTCACTCTCTCCCCCAGTTCAAGTATCCTTCAGGCTTTCACTACCTCATTTGGTTCCCTCCTCCATCATCCCTCCTCACAACAGTTGTAAAGGAAATCTGCTTTGAACTCTGCCTTGGAATGTGAACAGTCCAATGTTCTTTCCTGTTGCAGGGAAGGAAGTTCTGTTCTCTCTATTCATCTCTAAATACCCTTCAATTAACCACACAACTTTCACTGAGCTGGTCTCCCCCAGCGGGGTCCTGAGATAGCACTGGAGACTGAGATTTTATTCACATGAAACAGATGGATAGAGACTGAAGTGTAGCCTGCCACTGATGGCTCATGCCTGTAATCCTAGACACTAAGAAAGCTGAGATCTGAGGATCATCATTTGAAATCAGCCCAGGCAGAAAATCCCACGAGACTCTTGTCTCCAATTAACCACAAACAGCCAGAAATGGGGTTATGGCTCAAATACTAGAGCACTAGCCTTGAGCACAGAAAGCTCAGGGACAGCACATAGGCACCAAGTTCAAACCAGGACACACAGAGAGAGAGAGAGAGAGAGAGAGAGAGAGAGAGAGAGAGGCTGAAGTGTGACTGTTCCCAAACCCTGTTGCTCCTAATGTGAGTTTTGTTGAGCCAGTGTGCTCAGCTTCTTCCCTTTATGTTAGGCATCAGGTAGAACAGGGCTCCCAAAGCATGTCCATGGTTTTTGGTGTGGGTTCTTGCAATTGACTAAAAAGCCAGTAAAAGTAACAGTATATAAACTACTTGCCTCTGTTCCTACTATCCAGACAGTTCCGCCAAAGGCAAGTAGTGAAAGTTAGAAGGGAGATAGCTCCTGCTCATATCCCTTGAAAAGATGAGCAAGGATTTGTGGCCTCTCAAACTAAACTTGAAAATATATTCTCCACGTCTTCACACCAGGGCTGCTAAATTCTGGAGATCAGACAGGATGGACTGCAGCCCATCTAGGGCTTAGACCCATCTAAGACTTAGATATATGGAGTCCAGGCTGTGGAATTCTCCTTAGTCATAAAGCAGATGTGCAGATACCCTCCTTCATCCAGGCCTATCTCACTTCTGAAAGTAAACATAATCTGGAATAAAGTGCAAGCCAGAACTTTCCAGACCCAAATGCAAGCACTTGGAATTGGTTTAAGAGATGGGAAAATGAACACAAACCTTAAATATCTCCTTAAATATGTCCTTCCTGTTTCTCTTGATAGCTGCCTCGTTTCCATCACCCTTCCTGGGTTTTGGTATCAACTTTCTGAGAACAGATGAGCCATTTTTGGAAGTAGAGTAGCCAAGCATTGTCCCCATTTCTAATTTTTCATCCAGCTGGAGTTAGCTACATTAGCATAACACGCCCACCCTCTCTTTCCTGATAGCTGTGTTTTGAAGGAAGAGGCTTGTGTGCAGAGCAATGTCTCGCCCTCCTCTCTTAGGATCTGGCTGACCATAGCAATCTTACATTTTGCTATTCTGTGTGCTGAGAGGAGTCTGAACTCCTTAAATGCTGCCCTGTGCTGTCTGTACCCAGATGGGGAATCTGGCCCATTCCTAAAATCCAGTAATAAGAGACCTATGTTACCAAAGCCTCTCTAGTATCTTCATGTCAACAATAATGGAAACATTGAATCTGTGTTTGTTCATTCTTCTCTTCTTTTTAACTTATTTTTTATTGTTTCTATAAAGGTGATATACAGGGGGATTATAGTTACCTAAGTCAAGTAATGAGTACATTTCTTGTCAGTGTACCCCCTTCCCTTGCTCTCTCTGTTTTTCCCTTCCATCCCCACCCAAAAGTTGCATAGTTCACTTTCAACATAGTGCCTAATGAAAACCACTGATGCGTTGGTTCACCCATTGTCCCTCTATTTCTGTAACCCCCTTACTCTCTCCAAATACATGAGCAAACAAGACAAAAAGGAAACGAAAACAGAATCAAAGAAGAAAACTTCTTGTTTCCATTTTGTGGAGTTCATTTCAATAAATATTATTTTCTATGATCAAATGTGCATAGGCATTGCACTTTTAGTTTCTCTTCTTCTTTGTTAATACTGCTAGAGATCAAACTAAGGGCCTTATACATGCTAAGCACATGAATACTGCTCTAAGCTAAGGGCTCAACCACTGAACTACATCCCCAGCCCATCATTTGTTCATTCTTTTGTTTGTTGTTTTAATTGGCTTAGAATCTGTATAGGGAAAAAGAGGATGCTATGTATTGACTCCCTTAGAGCTCAGGAGCTGTTTGCAGAAGGAGAATTTGTTTTCTGGCTAGGTAGAGACAGAGCAAAGTTATTAAGCCCCAGTGGAATGTATTCTCTTGACAAGCTACATTCTCTCTGCTTCTGAGATTGGATTATGGAGGCCTGGAGAGGGGGTGGAGTATGGTTGAGATAAATTCCTTGGGAGTGGGAAGGTTCCCACTTTAACACCATGCACACTCTGGCATAAGAACCCAACCAATTGAGTAAAGGAGAAACCACGTCTATTCCCTGCCCTTTATACTCACTCCTGACTTCTGGAAGACCACCACCCACAGCTGATTTCCCTCTACTTTTGGGCCTGGTTGGTCTTTAAGTAAGAGTCACACACCAACTTTTACATCCAGTGCAATTTATTGAGAAAAGGAAGTGCAACATACTCATTATCAGAATTTCCACAACCCAGGAGATAAAGGGGACAGAGGTAAATAAAGATATGATGCCCAGATTGAAGAAGGGCTCCCCAAGGGCCAGCAGTCTGGAGATGGACTTTCTACCCTCTGCCCTGGTCCCCTCAGGTGGAAATCTTGAGCAGATGCCATCTTTAAACCAACCTTTCCCAGTATGCACATGGGCCAGGCTGCAAGGTAGGCTTGGACTAAAGTGCTGCTGTCCAAAGTGAGCTCCATCACGGGGGCTTCTAATCCCAGACTAGTAGCCAGACTTCCTTGGCTTAGAAAAAACTTGGAGATGGAGGAGTTACGAGTTCAGCTCCTTCTCCAGGAAACTTGAGGAAAAGTGAAATTGAAATGTCTGCACCTGATCATGCCAAGCAGAGTAGGACCTGTCAAGGCAGGCTGGGAGGGAAGCAGGTGGATGTGGAGGGCTGGCCTGGGATATCACTTGGGGCACTGCTGGCTGGAGCTGGTAGTGATCTGGGAGAAGTGGCGACTGCTATTGCCTCCACAAGCAGACTTGTAGCCTACTGAGGTCTGGATGCAGGCAGAGCCAAAGCCCGCTCCACGCTGGCTCACACACCTGCTGCCTCCACTGCCGAGCCTGGTCCCACTGCTGCTGCTGCTGCTGCTGCTGCCGCTGCTGCTGCTGCTCTGGTAGCTATTCATGCCGGCCCTGCCCCCACTTCTCCTGCTACTGCTGTCCTGTCCATAGCTGCTACCGCTGCTGCCTCTGATGCCGACACTGCTGCTTCCTCCTCTGTAGCCACTGCTGCTACTGCCATTGACTCCTCGGAAACCTCCAGAGCTGCTGCTCGTGCTGGTGATATTGCTGACCACTGCTACAAGAGAGCATACACTCAAATTAGGAGAAAAGAAGGTGGAGATCAATGACCACAGTGTCCCCTGCTTGACTTAGATAAAGCTCGGCTTCTCTAAGACCTTAATTTGCAACTAAGAAGTGTGAGCCTGGTTCTCCGGCATCCTTGTCCAAAAGCAGGAACCAGAAGTGCCCACAGAAATTTCTGATTCTCCAACTTAGGACATACCCTACAAACATGGGGCAGGGGGCGGAAGGTTTAAGTTTTGGCCCCAAAGATAGTTCAGCCTATACTGGGGACAGAAGATGTCAGTGGCTAACACCCTGGTTGCAGTCAGGTGACTTCAGGCTTAGATGAATCAGGCTTTCTCCCCTGAAGCTCAGTCAGTAGGGATGTTTCTAGCTGTTCGTTTTACAGCCCAGGGAGGTTTTAAATGTGCTACTTACAGATGCTCACAGAATTCAGGTACTCTCCAGACATCCTGAAAAGGAATACAATATGGGAGTTATTTCTACAGTGGGTCAATAACCAAAAACTTCGGGAGTCACATATCTCCATGTGCCTTAGGGGGGATCAAGTTCCTGGGAGAAGGAAAACTATTCCAAGTCTCTTTCCCCATCTCCCCAGAAAAGAGGGATGATCCAAAGTTGAGATTTCTGGTACTCTCATTACTATATCTTTCCATCTTCCTGCCCTATTTCCCTTCATCTTAAAGATTTCTTGCATTAGCCTGGGTGCCTGTGACTCATGCCTATAAGCCTATCTACTCAGGAGGCTGAAGTCTAAGGATCATGGTTCAAAGCCAGCTGGAGCAGGAAAGTCATGAGCCTCTTATCTCTAATTAACCACCAAAAAGCCAGAAGTGGAGCTGTTGCTCAGGTGGTAGAGTATCAGCCTTGGGTGAAAAAGCTTAGGTACAGACAGCATCCAGGCCCTGAGTTCAAATCTCCAGGACTGGCATTCTTCCCCTCTCCACCCCCCCCCAAAAAAAAAACAGTTCCCAGTTTCTTGGTTGCATTAGCTATATTTCAAATGTTCAAGCAGCTAATGGAGTACTGTATTGGACAGAATATGTATAGAATATTTTCAGCTTCAAAAGTTCAGGTAGATACCCCTAGTCTATAACACACATCATAAACCCAACGCCCTTTTCCTAACACATTGCACATTGTTTGTAATTAAATATTGATAGTTTGATAAACTGGAGAATTAGATGATGCTGACTGATTAGAAGCCTAAACGTTTAACAGTCATTCAGGAGAGTCCTAGACATTGGTTGTCTGGGTAATCCTCTCCTTATCAACTTGTTCCTTTAGGTCATTAGCAAAGATATTTTAAAATATTATCTGACAGGCAAGTGTCAGTGTCTGTAATCCTAGCTACTCAGAAAACTGAGATCTGAGGATCCAGACTGAAAGCCAACCAGGAAAGTTCCTGAGACTATTCTCTCCAATTAATCAAATGATAGAGTGTTAGCCTGGAGCAAAAGAATTGCAGGGACAGCACCCAGGGCCTGAGTTAAAGCCCCAGGACCTGTGCACGTGCACACATGTGCACACATGCACACACACACAAAAAAAAAATCTTGTCTAGAGAATACTGGCCTTGGCCCCTCACCTGTACTCTTCGCCCTCCAGGAGCTTGCGGTAGGTGGCAATCTCCACATCCAAGGCCAGCTTGATGTTCATCAGCCCCTGATAGTCATGCAGCAGATGAGCCAGGTCATCTTTGGCCTGCTGTAGGGCGCTCTGCAAGTCTTGAAGCTTGGCATTGGCATCCTTGAGAACCATCTCACCACGCTGCTCAGCTTCTGCAATGGATGTCTGCAGGTTGGCATTCTGGGACCGAGAGAGGGTAGATAAATTATGGTAGGAAACAAATATCTCATTGCTCCTGAGATCTCTTCCTCCATCCAGCATCCCTCCTACCCCTTCCTCAGAAATCCCATTGGAACACGCTCAGAAAACAAGTCACTGTTGAAATGGGCAAAAACACATCCTTGGCCTTCTGAAATCGACTTCTAACTCAGCTAGTACAGGAATGCTTTGCTGTTGGGAGGCTCTCTTACTGATCATGTCATTCCTGTGATACAAAGCAGTCATGAAAGTTATGCCGAAGAGCTCCACTGAAGGCAGAATCTGCTGAGAGCTGAATATTTGAGGGCTAGAGAGAGCAGAATGGGCAGCCATCTCTCCTTTAAGGAAGCATTCCAAGAAATCAAGCCTCCAGAAGGACCATCTGGGAGAACAGAAGCTCCCAGAGTCTGACACCATGAAATGATAGACAAAGCACGTGGCAGAGGAGCCCAGCCAGTGCTCTTCCTCCTCCCCAAAGCTCAAAAGTTCACCAGGATCACTCCATTCAGTCGAGACCCACCTGCTTCTTAACATTCTCAATCTCTGCCCGCAGCCTCTGGGTCATCATGTTGAGCTCCATGATCTCATTCTTGGTGCTTCGTAGGTCGTCCCCATGCCTGCCAGCTGTGGTCTGCAGCTCCCCAAGCTAACAGAGGAGAAACTCATCAACATGACTTGGCAAAGAATTGGCACACTCTTGGTAAAGCTCATTGGGTCCTGATGACCTTGAGAGGAAAGAAGGATTTGCACCTTAGTCTGGTACAGGGCCTCAACCTCCGCCTTGCTCCTCTGGGCAATCTCTTCATACTGAGCACGGACCTCGGCTATGATGCTGTCCAGGTCCAGGCAGCGGTTATTATCCATGGACACCACCACAGACATGTTGCTGACATGATTCTGCATCTGGGACAGCTCCTGCAGGGAACACGGATGGTCATTAAGACAATGTCTCCCATCCTCCTCCCAAAGGAGGTAAAAAACGAACCCTCTACTGGCAAAGATATCCCCCTACCCCCAAGGAGGGAGCTAAAGAATGGGGGCAATTAGAAAAATAAGCTTACATTTCAGATCTGGCTACAATCTAAAGAATGGCAAGTCTAGAAGGCTAGAAGAAAGTGAAATTGCATAGATACTCAGGTTGTCAACTTGAAAACATCAGCCAGTGAGCCTGCTTGTATAGGTCTCCATGGGAGCACAGGAGGGAAAAGTATTATGAAGTAACAGGCTAGTAATACCAGACTAGAGGAGTAAAATGGGCTAAGGGAAGGAGAGTCCCTCCCCATGGGCCAGGTCAGTCCCCAAAGCTATGCTTGAGAAGATGTCAACAGAGATTCGCTGCTGCTTAGCAAACCAAGGAATCACCATGTCATAGAGGGTCCTCAGGAAGTTGATTTCATCTACCAGGCTGTCCACTTTAGCCTGCAGCTCAGCCTTGTTCACGTAAGCTGCATCTACATCCTGAAAGAGAAGTCAGAAACCCAGGGAATGACCTCCTGCTCCCTCCTGACCCACAAAACTTTCTAGCTTTCATCTTTCCTATTAGTCCTTCCCCCAGACCTTCTAATTGTGGGCTCTTACCTTCCCTGTTAAAAGAGAAGAAGGAGGGAGAAGGAGGAGGAGGAGGAAAAAGGAAGGAAGAAGAAGAAGAAGAAGAAGAAGAAGAAGAAGAAGAAGAAGAAGAAGAAGAAGAAGAAGAAGAAGAAGAAGAAGAAGGAAGGAAGGAAGGAAAGAAGGAAGGAAGGAAGGAGGAGAGGAAGAGGAGGAAGGTGAGCAAAGGGGAGGGAAGGGGAGGAAAGGGGAGGAAAGGGGAGGGGGGAAGAGAAGGGAAGGGGAAGAAGAAGAGGAAGAAGAAGCAGATGAAGCAGAAGCAGCAGAAAAAGCAGAAGCAGAAGAAAAGCAGATGCAGAAGCAAGAAG